AAAACTTTGACCACAGAAGCCACCTCTTTCTTGAAGTAGATGCTCTGTCGAAGGTTGTGGTCAACGGTTTCACCATATCACAAATAGACACAAGTTAGGATTCAGAGGTTATATATTCCCTGTTGGCATTAGATGGTTGGAGGCAATCGGCAGGAAGCCTTGGACCTAGGTTTCGTGCTAGTTGACACTCATCCAATACAGTCCTACAGGAGGTCAGTCGCGAGCCTGAATAGCTCAGTGGTAACGTCTCTGACTGCAGCACTGGGTGACACCGGTTCGAATCTCAGAAGGGACATGAGTTCCTTCAAGGTTGCAGATACGCCTTGCTGACGAGTGCCAACTAGCACGAAACCTAGGTCCAAGGCTTCCTGCCGATTGCCTCCAACCATCTAATACCAACAATTAACAGTGCACCGTAATGGCAAGCCACCCAGCATGGTGGCCACATTGCAAACATGACTGATAGAATTCAGTCTGCACCGAAGATGGGACTAGACACATTACACTAGTTACTGACTAGTGTGCAATCAAAAAAAAAGTTATATATTCCCACCTAGTAGCTAAATATTTGATGGGCTTGGTTGTTCTACCATGACGTCACAGGTTTCATACCTTGTGAATAGTCTCAAACCAGGAGGAAACAACTATCCAGTGTTACCTGATTTGCAATAAACTCTTCAACTGACATTGGCTCGTTGCCAAATCCATACAGATATCTCTACAATATTCCGAAATCTTAAACAACGATTATCTACTAACACTTCGCCCACCCTCTATCTAACGTTCTATTCTGAAAATTGAAACCAAACAACACTCCAAAATAGAACTCATGTAAACAAATTATCATAACGACAGATTGTTGGTCAACCCGAAAAATCTGGTCATTTTTAAATAACGAAAAACGAATAATTATGTGTTTCATTCAACCAGCCGAGATTTATAGAGAAATTTTTCTCTTCTAAGGTATAATTTGGGAACGATGCCGAAAGTGGCTATTAGTCTATGAATACCCCTATTTAAATAGTTGATTATTCTGTTTTACTCAGTCTTTCATACACCCCAACGAAATTCACACAAATCAGTTGGATAATTTGTCCATTTGCCTGCGTTAACGCAGATTGACACTCGTATGAGAAGAGATCTTTCTCACTACACATCTCATGGATTACACTACCAATATATTCGGATGGACTATCGGAATCATCGCGATAGTCGCAATACTCGTCAACTCTTATATCGGTTTACTATGGATAGCTAACCTGTCTGCTTGTTCTCAGAGAAGGCAAAACAGTCAGTCGATGGAAGTAAATGACAGTGGTGATCGAAATGAATCACAAACAGAACCATCACACATTTCATTACGCCAATCTACAAAGGTTCACATGTCACTCATTCTAATTTCTGGATTTGTTATGAATCTCACAGGAGGAGTGAGAATAGCCCACCTCACTTTGAATGGAAATGACATACGTGTTATCTTCGGTGAATGGTTCTGTAGAATCCACATAATCTTGTATTTGTTCTCAGTGGATACCTCTAATTGGTGTTTCGCACTTCTCTGTCTCGATAATCTCTTCCCCGTTTTACTTGTCAGAACACATCAATCGACATTTCTGAATTCCGGGAACTTCATCATAATCCAAGTGATGGCTGTCACTGCCATTTCATTGGCAACGAGCATCCCACCACTAATTCCGTCGAATAAAATCTGCAGTCAACCTTATTACAACGTGAATGTTGTATACAGCAGATTTGTCCTGAGTATACTGATTCCTTCAGTTATTTCAATTGTTTCCTCAGTTCTCCTGATTAAAGTGATATCTAGACGAGAAGTGTTAGTGAACACTAGTCAGCATCAATCTTCCTCACCTATTGAAAATCCTCACGGTGTATCTGTATCACCTGCACATAGAATCTCTGCAGCGAAAATGAAAATATTCACAGTCTGTTCGTTGATTTCGCCCCTGGTTCTCATTTATTCATTTCTTAATAAGAGTGTTGACTACGGTTATTTTCCAGTAATTCATAAACCACTAGGTGATGAAAAATATTATTTATTATCTTTAATCCAAATGCATTGCATTCTCAATACACTTCAAAGTTTTCTCTTAATGTTATCTTCACCAAACATGAACTGCAGCTATCAAATCATATATGTGATGATTCGGAGAATACTGCGTCTCAGAAACTGATCACACGATTCGCGAAACCTTTCAGAGTGAACGCCACAAATAAGAATCCAGTGTATCCTAAGCTATTGATGTGTACTAGTGCATAGTAGTGATACTGTAGTGATCCTGTTAGAAGGTGCCTAAATGACAGATTGTCTGTACCCTATTTTAATTAAACACTCTATGAAACTATAACCTTTTCGCATGGAACAAATACATCCGTATTTGGTCTTGCTTGTTTTCCCCACTCTCCGTAACTGCCTGTTTGCCATATTTATTATCGTATTGTGTCCACTGGAAATTACAGGAAACTACCGTCCTCGCTCAAAGAACAGCAAGAACATTAAAGTTGTTGGCAAAAACTTACACTGGAATGAAATTCGTTGAAACATGCTTCACAGGTTGCATCTGTGGTATTCACTGTCCTATTTGTGGAAAGTGAACATAATCCTATCTGCAAGTGACTCTAACTGTGTACTCTCATAACTCATTATCCTCAGTAAGTGTAACAAACTGTCTACATACACTTCGTTGATTCATATCTATATGTTCATATTTCAAATAAACGAGCTGGTAGCGAAATTTCATGATGTTTCCTCATTTAAACCGTCTGACCCTTCTTTCTTGATCTGTACCAACAGTATCTTCGTTTCTAATTTGTAAAGCTGTAAGTGTTACGCGGAGCTTCAGTTCACAGTAAGCAGTGCTTCAGCTTTTCGAATCTAACCTGAGTTATTACTTCAATGATCGAACTGACTGTCGCGCCTCACGACCCACCTGATATCGATTTTTGACTCAAAGTGTTTTTGTCGTTTTTATTTTAAAGTCCAGTATCACGTAGTTAATTTGCTCGTGAACATGTGTATCACCCAGCTTAGAAAGTATAATCATGCACTATACATACCCTTGAGCTACACATCTTCGCTGTTATTTCTAGATGTGCCCCAGTAATTATGGACACATCATATTCAGCAGCTTATTTAGATTTTCAAACAAATCCAAAAACAATATCAACACCACTTGAAACTGTCAAACAGTGATGTCTAAACTACAGATAATCTCAGATTATCGATCTGTTGACTCGGAATATGGGCATAGTCAAAATAATTCCGTGTTAAAAAATCTGCACTAGAGAATGTGTGTTTGAATCTCAGGAAGGCATGAGGTCATTCGAGGTTGTAAATACTCCGTAATGCCTACAACTAGAGAATGCGAAATGTAGATATGTATAGCCTCAAAGAAGATGACCACAATGATGAGTCTCCGTATGTCAGTGTTTTCTTCTTCATCGTCACATTCAAAGTGATGGACGGCGACTTTCCTAAATTCCTGAAACTGAACAGTTCTCTAGAGTATGCTGCCGTACACTGTGTAAAGCAGCTGCGTCCGAAACTAGGACGAAACAAGTGCCCAGGAGTCCCCGTGGATTTTCAGTGGTTCTCTAAATGAAATCAATCCGTGTTCAGACAAATCTCTACATAAAAACTCTTGAAAATGAATTTGATGCTCGCTAGCGACTGGCTACACGTCAGAGTTTCTTGGAGTTCTAGTGAGACGTCATAAACATTGACGTCCATCCTTTCTCCAGATAACACCATAAATAAAATAGTAGGCTATATGCCTGTGTTAATCCTTTCGATTTGTTACACACAGGAGGTCCAATCTCGCCTTGAATGAATCAACGGATGGCGCTGATACGACGTGTTCCGGTAGGGAGTTCCAATGGTTCACAATTCGATGCAAAGACGGATCTCCAGACGCAGACGATTCGACCGTAGTTTTTGAACCTTGAGGTGATGTCCTCGCAGTTGGTTGGTGCTAGAAGGAAGAAATAAATTAGATAAATTAGCTCCAAAATCATTTCTTAGGATACTGTATGCTAGTATTAGGTCACCCCTAAGTCGTCTGTATGATAGTGGAAATAAACCCAGTCGACTTAACCTCTTCTCACATGAGAGGGTTGAGAAAAACTTTATTAGCTTAGTTCCTACTCTTTGCACCCTTTCTAATAAGTCTATTTCGTATTTGAAACACGGGCTCGCTGCCTGGATCCCATATTCCAAATGAGGTCTGATATAAGTCGGATATAATATACGAAATATTTCAGCGTCAAAATTCGCAAAAGCCTTGCGTATGGCTTATAGTCTTTATATAATTCAATTTGAACTTCCCGTTGATTGGGTGGACCGATATGCTCAGCCTCAGGATAGAGTGACCATCTTGGATTCCACTGCTAGTTGCCATCCACCTATTTACTTCATGTTTGCAATAGACTCTGGAAGTTACCGAACAGGACGAAGTAGCTATCCATTACTCTTCGGTTTTCAATGATTCTCTAAATGATTTCAGTTCTGATTTATAGACCTGATCTTCTACATGTCCTTTTCACATGTCTGTTTGTATTTCTCTCACCCCACTTATTGATTTACGACCAAATTTTCTCTCACGCTACTTATGACCTTTGAAATCCTATTGGTTGTTCACTGTCTTAATTTATCAATGACATTAATGCTTCTCAAGGTCATTTTAAACATATATGTATATACACAAGCTCTGTCAACCTTTTTTGGCTGTTATTTTGAGACAGTAAAAGCCCTCTTACCAACATTCACGCTTCTCTTCTGTCTTGCTATTATTGTTGACGTGAGATTACGACAGATTAGCCAGCACATTAAGTTAGTATTCACTCATAGTCCACTAGGTCATAGTTCCGGTCATAACAAGTTCTTTATGAAATCTAACCTGGAAACATTTATTGCACTAAGAATCTTTTTGCTACTGTTGTAGTTGATTATTGGCTTATTGTTCTATTTTCGTCTTCTTTTCTAGAATTGTGTTGAAAATCCTTCGCGGGGAAGAAACCAGTATTACAAATGATACTTAATACATTGTTTAATCAATGAACCAGACGTTAAATTCAAATAATCCCAGAGAATCATTACAAATGCTTGATATCAACGGGCTACAGACACCGTGTGAAGTTAATCCTGATCTCACGAAACCATTGGTTCTATTTCTTAATTGTAAGTTATCAATTTATCTTTTGGTGTGTGTGTGTGTGTGTTAATTGTTTGAAGTCATTATTTTGAATATCTCGGGTCGAAATTCGCCATTTCTGTTGAAGCTTTAGCTCCTAGTATGGATCTTTCGATGATACGATGATTAGCAGTGGGATCCAAGAAGCACGACCTTCATTCCTTTCAAGACTCTCCAGTTAAATATAGAAAAATCCCCATTTAGACATTTGGAAAACAGAAAGACTGAGCGAAGAAATATTTACTTTTCAATTAGATCCTCATCTCTATCTGGCTCTACTCTAATATACACGTATAGCATTTTATTACAGTACACAATAGTTTACCAATCAAGTGGCACTGATATGTTTGTTAACAATAATTAAACAGTGTCAAAATGTCAATGGGTTGATAATAAACGCAGAAAATCAATATACATTTAAAAGGTATAAATGGTTAGAATAAATTAATTTTACAAGGATAACACGTAATTAAAGATGAAGTGGTCAAAATAAATAAAAATCAAATAATTTGGACAATTATAATTTTTATAGGTTTAGGGGGAAAGGGGCAACGTAGTCCTGTTTTGTGCATTGTTGTAACGATGGCCACGGTAAGGAAAGTGGCTGTACAAATTTCTTCTGAACACATAGGCTAGGCTTCTTTAGGAGGATTCCGATTGCTTCAACTGTAGGTATGTAGAAGACGAACTCGTAAAGCAAAATTACGATTAGCCGGAATGCGATAAATAATTTTAAATGCAGTATTAGCATCAACCGTATTCTCACTATCTACAAGGTGTGCTAAAATAGAACTACGAATAGATTTTATTTGTCCCTTGCTTAATCATGTCGGATGATGTTTGGAAATACGATGATGAACCTGCCTAATTGTACACTCTATGTAGCTAGCTCCGCAGCTGCAGTCAAACTGGTAGATACACATTGAAGAGGCGAATTTAGGTAGTTTATTCTTATTTCTCGAACATAGAATAGGGGTGGTTGTGAAGAGACAACGTACCTCTGCTGCATAATAAGCTCTCTTAACTGCATTCTTCAAGCGCTGTGTTATTATTTCGCTGATGTCCAGTTAGACATATCTACAGTCCACCACGAAAAGTGATGGTGTTCCCACAGAGATAGAAACCCAACACCCATTTTTTTCAAGCTCCCAAGCCTTATTCACTAGAGTTGTACGCTGAAGAGACTGTTAAGTGATATCATACGCCATACCCTCAATGAACCCGATAATGAAACAACAATTTAGGAGCGCATCCTAGCGTGACACAGAGGTTTTGATTGTGGAACCAGATAAAAGAGACGTCAGAGAAGAGGGTGAAATGGAGATATACAACGATCTCTCTGTTTTTCGGTGGGAACCCAAGGGAATCATAATAATGATAATAATACATTCTAAGTGACCCTTTTACTAAATGCCAACTTGGCGCTTTTTTGATCAAACTATCCTGGAGTAAACCTTCACAATGAAATACCACTAGACAATTCCCAATAACACCAACAACAGAGGTAATCAGTGTTGCCTAAGTTTCACTGGTTTTGAAGCATTTCAACTCATGACCAGACTTGTCATCAAATCAATTATGTGTGAATTTCACGTTGAGATGCATGGTCTCTCTTCACATGAAATTTCCTAGCAAGACAGGGGTTTCGATGAAAAAAATAATTCCAGCGGACAATAATTGGTACCAATTTAACTACAGCTGTCCTATGTGGCTTAGTAGATGGAGGTTTGGCTTTAGAGACGAAGAGTGCTGGGTTCAGATCTCAGTGAGAATATCATCACTTACTGGAATAATGGAGAATATTTGTAGCTCAGGTGGATGATATTGAATTAGTTGTGTTCTCTATGAAGCTGGTTGATTTAATTGCGAAGCTTTCTAGACAACATCTTCCTTCAGCGCAGGTTTTAGTACAAATGACTTATTTAATTCTCCATAAATGACGTAACTGTAACTCCTGACAATCATTGTCTTGACTGGTTGTTAATTCACATCTGCATTGATTATTTTTATTGACTAAGAATTCTCAAATTTTTGTGATGTGATTTACTTTTTATTAGCTGGTAAATTTGGTCTATAATAATGTGTTTGTTAGTTGCTGGTTGATTCACTTGAGTACCAGGCTTCTAGGAATTTCCTGACTGCATTTTTGGTGTTTCCTCTACTTAAAATTTTGACATTATCCCAGTCATCAAATCTGTGTCCATAATTATCCACATGCATTGATACTAAAGAATATATATCGTGTCTTTTCACGACTGATTTGTGTTCCTGGATTCGGATTCTTAGGGGACGCTCACTTTGACCGATGTAATGTCTGTTACAGTTCATACAATTTACTTTGTAAATAGTATTAATTTTATCCTCTTTTTCTGTTGGATGGGTCTTTCGGTTTGCGCAATATCGAATGAAGTGATTAAGCTGGCTGGCTGGCTTGTGTCCTATATCTATTTCAAACCGTCTTAATATTCTAGCTGTTATTTCAGAGATATTTTTTATATATGGTAGGATGAATTTCCTTGTAGTGTTTGATGACGGTTTTTTGTTGGTATTATGAATCCAGTTTAACACTTTTTGATGAAATTGTGATTAGGGTATCCATTCTTTTTGAAGATGGTTAGTAGGTACTTTTCCTCCATTCTCTTCAACACCCAAGTAGTGCTACAATGTGTTTGAACTCTTCTAAACAATGTCTGCACACAGTTTCTTTAGTAGTTAATAGGGTTATTACTACTATAGTTGAGTATTTGGTCTGTGCGCTTTGATTTTCAATATACTTGTATTTCTCAATTTCTTGTGTTAGTTCTCTTGATTAAGGGAGACTTTTAAGAATGGAATTTTGTTGTCTAATTCTTCTTCTCTCGCGGTGAATTTGATGCCTTCAAATATGTTGTTTATTAAATTGTGAGTGTATTCCAAATCATTTCTTTTAGTTATTACAAATGTATCATCAACATAATTATGCATACGGAGAGGTATTAATTCTAATCTTTGCATAACGGCTTCAACTATTAATCCTGATATAGGTGATCTCATTAGTGTTCCTTTTATCTGTTCGTACATTTGATTAGTGAAATGGAGGTATGTTTACATTGACGTTGAACATTGCGGTTTTGTGCGTTCATCGCTATCGAGTAGTTGTTGCATAGTTTCTTTTGCTAGTTTTGAACCAGTTGAAGTGTACATATTGTTGTGACATCAAAGAATTGTTGTTTAAATGGACGAAGAAGTTTTTGAAATTAAATAAATCAGCTCAGGCAGCACAACTAATTCAATATCGTCACTTAATGATGAATTTGGAGGTATCCTGAGCTGATGAAACATACATTTTGGATTCCACTGACATGTACTATCAACCAAATAACTACCAGGTATTTTCAAGTTTCGGTTTGCACGGATTTTATTGATTTCAAGTCCGATCACGGTTTGATATTAGTTCGAGAATTAGATGAAACCAGGAAGTAATCGACGACCGTTTCGTTCACCAAGTGTGGAACTTTCCAGCAGTAGGCTGGATGGCATTCATTGGCTCGTGAATTCTAACTCCTGTTACTTCGCAGTAAACAGTGATACTACCAGTCAATGTTATCAGCGAGTATTTGTCCTAACCCTCCGACCGGATAGACCTCACTGGTACCGACTACTCACTAGAACTCCAGAAAACTTTGTCCTGAGTTCGGTCACCAATGAGCATCAGATTAATTTTCAAATGTTACCTTGTATTGATTTATGTATTTGTTAGATTTATTCATATTTATGAGTGCTACACTTTATTTCAAGACAGATTACGCAACCAGGCAGGGAGTCATTAAAAACTTAGTAGTGCTTGACAGTCATTTCATTTTTCTATCTTGAATCTTTCACACTCTTTATTGGTTGGTGGTCACCAGATAGGCATGGCGCGTCGGTGGCACAGTGGTTAGGACTCTCACCGACCATGCAAATGGTCTGGGGTTCGATCCCCTGCCGACGCACACCCGATATCAGTGGTCGGCCTGCAAAATTTGGGCTACCGATATCGCATGCTGAAAATTCCATACTTGTACTGAAAATACTGTGTGGTTTCAAGCTATAATCAAAAAAAATGTTCAGAGGTATGTAACCATAGCCATTCAGATATGCCATAGTGAGTGAGTGGTGATTTCTAATCAATCATCGTTAAGGTGTTTAGTAAAATTAAGTTATTTACCAGGATTTATACACCATATGGTAACACCTGCTAAAAACATTTCAGTTACACGTAATAATAAAAAGTCATCATTGTGTTTTGATACTGTCTTCCATTTTTATTTTCAAGAATGAATTCTTTTTCTCTATAACCTTGCTATTTAATGTCTATTCTGCGTTATGTACAGTGTGAACTGTTACAACAACACAGACATGCAACCGAAAAATGCTTCATCCACCTTCCTGTCTCGTCACACGCACACACAAATAGCGTATCTCATGATTATTCAAGCATCTAACTAAATGTCAATATTACTGAGTTGTGCAAACTATTTGAAAGATTCCAGCAAACATCGGATTTCGTCCCAAAAGCTGAAAAGTAAACGGCTTCGCCTGGTAATCTGAAGGTTCTGGGTTCAGTATTCAGAGGTGGGGTCATGAGGACTTACTTCTGAAGAACTCTGAACTAGGATGCAACAGCTGTTCGGTACTCCACGGTGGTTTTCAACGGTTCTTCTGTAACTGATGTGTGTCTGTGATCTAACATCATATAAATCAAATCTTTGAAAACCAAACATCCAAAAATCATTTAGAAGATAAAATGAATGACCAATGAAACACTAGATCCTCGTCTATGAATCTATTCTAACATATACCAACATGTACTTGATTATCATTGTTCTCTTGGGATCCGATTAGAACATACGGCTTCAACTGCACGCATCCACTTGCTTCTGTCTTCTGCTGTACTTTTCACCTGCATCCATGTTATTCCATAATGTTTCAACTCCTCTTCACACGATCTCCTCCATGTCACCCTTGG